CGGTGCCTCTCCATCCTGTTATTTTCTGTCCTTTCCTAGCCAGTGAGAATCCTACGATAGCCCTCAGACTCCATCCTTCCAACAATCACTGGAGTTTTACAAAGGGGAATCTGCTGCTCCTGTTCCAGAGGGTAATTCGGTCTAAATGGGGCATCAGCTTTGGGCTGAATTGCAGAGCCTGGTGTGGAAGTGGCAGCAAAAAGAGGGGGAGAAGCAGTAGTACAATGTCACCTAATGGTTGCAGGATAGAAGAGGAAGCAATTAAAATGGGCGAAGGAGGAAGAAGCACTATGGCCTAATAAATGACAAGGTCAGAGACCAGGGTTATATTCCTTTTGGGGCTAGTTACCTAGTGTGTGACTTTAAGGGCAAAGAGGTGAATTGTCCAGATTCACCTATGCCCAGGCTTTTATTTAAAGTGTAAGTTCATCTTCTGTCTGCAATGGATGGATTGAAAACAGTACACTTTTATGCAAGACTTATTTGGGAAATAAATACTGCAAGTCTGCCCAGTCATAAAGGATCATTAGAAATGAAGATTTTCTAACACACAAGGTATTGCACCCATTATGAGTTAACTGGCCTCATTTTGATAGATAACATGATTATATCACCAGATTGGCGATTGGTGAACGCTTAGGAACCCACGAACATGACCTGCTTAATTATATTCAATTCATACAAAAAAAACCCAGTCACAACTAATAATATATTTCCTTCATTTTAAAAAGAGGTAAATATATAAAAGCTGAGGAGTATTAGGGGGACAGTGCACTGGGTGGAAATATTTAGGCAGAAAAATATGAATGGAAATTGTTACTTTTGGGGGGTGAGTTTATTTGCTGGCCAATAAACAGTCAAGAAAGAACAAGTTTGGGGAAAAAGTGGTTCAGTGCTGATGTTATAGAACCAGTTAGAAATGAAAAAAAATATATATATAAAAAATGGCAACTGGGAAAAGAAAGAAATTAATCACAAGTTAGAAAGTGTAGAATATTGATAATGGAAGCTAACGACACTGGGGAAAAATTTATACTGATAAGGATAAAAGGCAAAAAGGGGGGGAGGTTCTTCCTTTTATTCTTTTATTATTTGCAGAATAGAAGAAATCTTAAACATGGTATAGATGGATTAATAAATTTAAATGGTAACCATAATGATGCAGAAAGGACAAAAGGTATTTAATATGTCTGTTGTGTTTTTGGGAAGAATTGGAGATAAGTTGCTTGTATCACATGAGATTCAATTGCCTTTTAGTACATTAGTAAGCATAGAGGAGGTTAAACGTTTCCTAGCAGTAAACAATTTTTAATCTTCTAAACGAGTTTGCAAAGGAGCTATCTAGCCTTTTATTAATGTTTAATCATGGAATATAGGGAAATTTCAAAAGAGTGCTAATGCACCAATATTCAGAAAGGGCAGCTGGGAATTACCATAGGCTGGCTAGAATGGCATCTATCCTAAATTCTGGCGAAGTTGATTCAACTGAATCAAAAAAGAGTAGGAATGTAATAAATACCACTTTTTGTGGTTTTATGGAAAATGATTATTGTCAGACAAATCTAATTGCATTCTTTGATGATATAAAATTTTGCTTGAGGTGCACATCATTCTAAACAGCCTATAGTTCTCCCCACGACAGTACTTCCAAAATAATCAAGTTACCTGTCATTCTTTGTTAAGCTTAGCCCTGGCCACTTTGAGACAGGCTTTTGAACTAGATGGGCCCCTGATCCGATGTGGTATAGGCAATTCCTATTTTCCTAGAAAGATAGCCTTGAATTGAAAGGAGTTTAGAGAATGGGGACCACAGTCATGAACCAGACGGAAAGACTGAAATGTAGGAAAGATATTAAGGAACTAAATCTATTTAGTATGGTTAAATGACCGGTGCAGGAGGAAAAAGGGATTAGGCTGTAAACACCAAGGAGTAGTAAAACGGGTGTACAACCAGAAGAAATATCAATAAGTGGAAGAGAATATAAAGAAGCTACACCCTCAGAACAACACCTGTTAGGCTGTGGGACTGTTCCTTGAGAACAGTAATAGAAGCTATAAATGGTTATAATGCTGGAGAATATAATGCAGGAACAGCTTTTTGCAGGGACCTAATGATCTAGATCTCTAGTATCAATAGCTATTTGACTCTTTTTCTTTCTGAAGCAGTCTGAAATTTGCCACATCTGCTTTGCTTTTCCAGGTGGAAGCTGCAGTCAGTGCTGCCAGAGATGCCTTTCCATCCTGGTCATCTAAAAGCCCTTGGGAAAGATCTCAGATAATGAACAAGTTAGCAGATTTGATTGAGCAGGAGCTCGAGGCATTTGCACAAGCAGAATCGAAGGATCAGGGTAAAAATGGAGTTTTGCTAGTGGGTTGTCTGCCCCGCGATAGGGTCTGGGATAGGGAAATGGGGGTCTGGTTAAGACTGAGAAACAAATGCAAAGTTCCATTTTGATTCTAATGCTGGCTGCCTCTGCTGTCTGCCCCCAGCTACTGCTTTTCCTGCCACTTGTCCCCCTGTCATTGTTTTCTGTAAGGGCGGGGAATTTAAAAGGACCCTCCAATAACTAGATCCTAGATATGGAAATTATAAAACATTTATAATTTTTCAGATCTAGAATCTAATACTCGGGGGGTCATCTTAAATTCAAAATCATCTTGGATTTGGGTAAATGCAATAAGTTGGCAGGGTAGGTATCGTCAAATGTTTTCTAGGCATTGCTGTAAAGGCAGGTTTTAAGGAGGGTTTTGAAGATGATAATGAGGTATCCTCATATATTTAGAGAGTAAATCTTCCAAGACTGAGGGGCAACCTGGGTGAAAGCACTGAGGGTGTTTGTTTTTTTTGTTTTAAATTCTAATGTGGGGTTACAACCACAGACATGGACATGACTACTTTCAAAATTAGCAGCCAGTTTTGAAGACGTCAGCCTCCATGCTTCTGCTTCCCTTCCTGTAGATTGCAGGTAATAACACCTGCAGCACAGAGGCTTTGGGGCCAAGTGTATTCATCCACAAAACACTGTAAAGCCTTCAGTGAGAAGACACCAAGAAGAGTATAGCATTGCAAGTCTCATAGAAGTAATACAACTTTTTATTGGACTTGTAGTAGTTGCCAGGCATTGTGCATTTTATAATAAATATCATTTTTATTATTTGTGGTGAGCGACTTTCACATGATCCACCTTTTCATCAAAAAAGGGCTTTCATTAGTGATAAGAGCTGTATCTGCAGCTCCATTTTCATTTAGTAGCACCTCAGAGTTGTCTGGTGAGTCTGGAATACTTCTCATGCTTGGGACATTTATAACCCTTTTGTTTTTCTTTTGTGCTAAGTTTATGCTAATGACATTGCAAAATGCTTGTTGCTTGTCTGTTTTAGGAAAAACCATTACATTTGCTAGAACAGTGGACATCCCTCGGGCAGTGTATAACTTCCGGTTCTTTGCCTCATCTATTCTTCACCATACTTCAGAGTGCACACAGATGGACCAGATGGGGTGCATGCATTACACCATGAGAGTCCCTGGAGGAATTGGTAGGGTTTTCTAGAGGGAGAAGTGCTGAAAATCTTGACAGCCTGTATGCCTAGGGAAGTAATATAAAGTTAAAGGGTAAAAGTAAAAGGCTAAATTCCTATTTCTGCCACTTAACCTTTTAACTTCAGGCAGCCTTTGTGAGGTAAAGTTTGGCCTCCAGGGTGAACTTGAGCAATTTCACATTAAAAAAAAAAATAAATTGGCAAATAATTACACTAAGAGTATTTATCCCCAAATATTCTTTTTTCCTGGTAGATTCCATCCTCCAAATACGTTACGTATTCTCTGTGTGTGCACGCATGTATCTGTAAATAAGAATTGTGTGCATATGGTACATACTTTTTGGAAGGATGGGATTGACCTGTCTGTTGCCAATGGGCAAAAGTCTTATTGATTTCAGTGGAAGCAGAGGTAGGGCACTATTGATCAGTTTTGAGTTTTTCCATGTGTGTGTGTACGCATGTGATTACATGCATGCATGCATTGGGGAGGGGAGGAAATATATACAAAAATATAATTTAGTTAAGGAGTTACCTAAATGAGCCACAAGATGTCACTGTCACTTCAGAGGAATTAGTCTGTCTACAGCTTTTTTGTTTTGTTTAAGGCTCTGAGAATCATGATTTTTTCCTCCTAATATTTGCTTTTTTAAACTACATTTGTTTTGGGTAATGTGGAGACCCTTGTAGTATTTTTTTTCCCCCATGGGAAACTGAGAATCTGAATATTACTGACAAAAATGCTCACAGAAAGTAGCTTTTGAATTCGCACATACGGTGGTGTTGTGTGGAGCTTCTTTTACACACATCCAATCAAGCGGTGGGAATTTACATTCTTTTAATGACCAGTCACAGCTGGGATTTCAAGTATTGTGATGTATGCCTAGAGAGCAAATATTCATGAAGATAGTAAATTAATTAGTTTTAACAGCATGGAAATTTGAAGAAATCAGTCTGCTCACAGATGTGCTGCAAAGTAGGCTAAATTCATCATAGAAGTATTATGCATTATATATTCAGTGCTAACATTTGACTAGATAAAATCCAGAAATAGCAATGGATGCACAGAGTCAGATAGCACAGCTGTGCAAAGCTTCGCTCCCTGATTTGTTGGCTGAATCTCTGAATCCAAATCAAATCAGGAGACCCTTTCACCTCTCCAAATCAATTTGGAAAGATTCGATGATTTGGATATAAACACAGCTTTAAATGTTTTTTCTACATACCTCAAGGTGACAGGCAGCCTGTGAAGGCTAAGATGGTGGGCGGATGGAGCATCCCACAGGAGCGCAGGGGGGCGTCCCCAGTGCGCTCGGCAGCAGACCCGGAAGTGAACCAAAAGCAATTCCACTCCACTTCTGGGACCGCTGGGGAGTGCACAGGGGGAGCCCCCTATACCCCCCCGACTCAGTGACTGGTGCCTCCTGGTCTGGGAGGGTACCCAGGGTCCCCCTGTGGCCGATTGCCAAAAGTACTTCTGGTCCACTTCCGGGTTCACTGCTGAGCATGTGGGGGGGCCCCCTGTGCTCCTGTGGGATGCTCCATCCGCCCCAGCATCACAGCATTTACAAGCTACGCCTGGTACCTTGAGTTATGTAGAAAAAACATTTAAAGCTGTGTCTAAATCTGAATCCTCTGAATCAGCATCGAATCTTCAGATTTGGCTTCAGTCAAATTGAATCAGGACAGTGATCCGAATCAACGAATCGAATTACTGTCCCTGAGTCAGGTTGAATCTGAATCAAATATGGCCCGTTTTGTATACCCTTATCAGATAGGAGACAGCTCCTTTATATTTTTCAGTTAATTTATAATTGAATTTTAGATACCTGAACCCTACCGTTGTACATATCTCTTTAATAATGAATTGATTATAGGAATACGTTTTGTTTGCAAAAGTGAAGAAGTTGGGTAGTTCTAGTAAATATATGAAATCCTGTAGGGATCTTCCCAGGGGAGGCTGAATGGAATGGAGCACAATAAAAAACTGCCCCCTTCTACTCTCCTTTGTCCAAATCTATAGCAAAGATCACTTGTCCAGTCCAGTTGGTCACATATGTTTGCACTGGAACCTCTGGGATCATTTATACCGGTCTTTGAGCGGATGTTTTCTCTTACAAATGGTCATTATTCAGGGTTCACTTTACAACTAAGAGTATGGCATAGGTGTAAATGTGGTAACATTTCCATACAGAAGCTCTAGCTTCCATTTGAGCAGGGTTGCCAACTCAATTCTCCTCTCCTGCCCTGATTTTTGTCCTTTTTTTTGTCTCTCTAGCTGGTTTAATTAGTCCTTGGAATTTACCACTTTACTTGCTGACATGGAAAATCGCCCCAGCCATTGCATGTGGAAACTCTGTCATTGCCAAGCCAAGTGAGATGACATCTGTCACTGCTTGGATGATGTGCAAACTCTTGGATAAAGCAGGTATTGGGGAGTGGAGGGGGAGGCAGTGGGAGAGCCCTTATCATGAGGGCCTGTGCTGCCTGTTGCCTTTGCTGCAGAAATTGGGAGGTGTGTAGCAAATACATGAGGGGACTACAGGAAGGAAAGGCAGAAGGTCATGGTGAAGGCAGCTCTGAAAAAACTGAATTCTTCCTCAGCTCCTCCCTCCTCCACCAAAACTCCCAAATCCCATCTCAGTCTGCTGCTGTGATAACACCACCCATTTGGTCTGCTTTTTTCCTACTTCTGGATTGTGGTGTTTCTATCTCTGTGCTGGTTGACTGCCAGCAGGGGGAGCACTGAGAACAAAGGAAAGGGTCTCTGTGCGCTCACTTTTTGTCTCTGGCCCTATGGGCCCTTAGTATCTGGTAGCAGCTATTGCAGCAAAAGTACTGCTGTCGTCTTTGCCAGCCCCATCACAGTGTTGGGTTCAGCGATGCCAGCGCCATCACAGTGATGAAATTCGTTCAGCACAGATGATTAATTCAGTACCCAAACTCCAACCCATGTCATCATGAAGACACAAGCTAACCTTAGTTAGCTTGTTAGCTAAGTTGAGTTAAATAAAGTAAAATCCTACTGGAGTTTGTGGTTTTCACATGACTTAAGGTAAACCCTAGGCTCTCTCATAGTCTTTTGCTTGCTCTGCAAACTTGTGAAAGCTTATAAATTGCCTCGTCTTCACTAAGATTTTTAAGGTAAATTGACTTAAGAATACACCTTATTTTCCCCTGGTGAAGATAAACAGTTTGCAGGCTCCACTGAACAGGGATAGTCTGCTATTTTTAAGAAACTTAGAACTTCTCCGGTCTTGGACAACTATGCATGGAAACAGCAAAAGGAACATTTTTGACATCTGGGTTGATTGGCTTAAACAACACATTTTCCCATAATCTTTCTTTGGAAATGGTTGAACTAGTTTTGCTGAAACTTTCAAAAAAAAAAAAAAAAAAAGGAAAAGTCATCCAGACGATGCTTACATGGAAAATTTTGGTTTGATTGATTGATTGATTAAAGTAAGGAAAAGTTGTAAACAACTGAAAATTGGGCCTTAAGTGGAAGTGCCAGGTAACTTTACATGCAATTCTCCCAGCTTCACATTTAATAATACAAAACCCTTAAAACCCCGAAATATCACTACTCTTAAGTCAAGGGCAAGGCATTGTGACTATAGAGCTATTAGGTGTTTCCTGACTTCCAGGAAGAATGTAAAATTAACCCAAAGGGAAGGAAAGGAAAGGACATGAGTGTTCTGTGCATTTGTTCCTATGAGAAATCCCTCCAGGGGTGGTAAACATTGTGTTTGGAACTGGCCCCAAGGCTGGGGAAGCGATTGTCTCCCATCCTGATGTGCCACTGATCTCCTTCACTGGGAGTACGCTCACGGGCCAGCTCATCATGGAGAGGAGTGCCCCACACTGCAAAAAACTCTCTCTGGAACTTGGAGGCAAGAATCCTGCTATCATCTTTGAGGATGCTGACCTGGACCAGTGCATCCCTACCACTGTGAGATCCAGCTTTGCAAATCAGGTATGGGAGAATACACAGTTGCAAGTAAAGCAGGTATACAGCAATGTGTGTGTATGTTTGGACATATCTGTGACACAATACAGAGAGAGTCCTGTAGAGATATCCAAGCTATAACTAGATGATCCAAAAACAATATAGTTGTGTCAGCACAGCACTCTGTCTTGCCTAATTAGTCGTGCTGAAAAGTGTCTGAATTCTTCCTGACGACTGCTTCTCCCTAGTGTTTTGCTTCTGAATTTTAAATAGGTAAAGGTCTTTTTTTAAACCCCATGTCATTAACAGAATATAAAGAGACATATGAAGGAGCTGTTTCCAGTATCCTGCCATCAGAGAAACCACTATTACCACTGGGCATTGCCTTTGCTCAAAGAGCTCAGTGTACTTTTACATGCATTAATTTGCACAACCATGCCTAGGAGAGAGATTCTCTATCTTTCTAGAAGAAAAGTTATTTATACAAATGGAAATGATGAAGCATTAAAGTGAATAGTCCAGAATCAAATGAATCTGTATCTAAGTGGAATTAGAATGATGGACTCCTAGTGCTCTTCCCTAAGTACTTTATGCTCCTGGTTTTTTCGTAAGATCATGAAAGACCACAAAATCTATTCTCAGGGGCTAAGTTGACAAACAAAAGGTCTGCCCAAGAAATCAAGCTGGTGATCATTTAAACCTGGAAAGATACTTTTCTGTGACAAAACACAACAATTGCATTTGTGAGGGCTTCTCAGTGCCTTCCTGCTTTGGTCACCTTTTATCCTTTCTCCCCAATAATCAGTTTAGGACCTTTACCTTTGTGTGTAAATTTAGTCTTTACCTTTTACTTTCCTAGCGAGATGCCTGGTGTATTCCTATCCAATCAGAAATAAAAAGTAAAACAAAAAAAATCAATGCCATATTTCCTTTCTTTGTTTTTGATAGGGTGAAATCTGCCTTTGCACCAGCAGGATCTTTGTTCAGAGAGGCATTTATCACGAGTTTTTGAAGAGGTTTGTTGAAGAAACCAAAAAATGGAAGGTTGGGAGCCCCTCCGATCCCACAGCCAACATGGGGGCCCTGATAAGCAAAGAACACTTAGAAAAGGTAACTGTCAAGGCAATCTTCCTTGAACTGTAATTGCATTTTAGAAATCTACTAAGGATGATAGGAAATGATTGGGGCAAAAAGACCACATCATCTTTTATGCCACCATCACATCCAGCTTTTGTTGCCACTTCCCTACAAATGATCATTAAGAAGATTTGCAATTAAAAATAATCTGATTTTTTTTTTTTTTTTTTTTTTTTTAAGGATTCTGCTGCTTCTAGTTGAGGTTACATTATTGTTCTAGGCAGAATAAACTCTGTGGACAAGTTGTTCTAAACAAATGAATTGCTCAATCATTGTGAAACTGTTTAAAGCAAAAATCAGTCCATAAGTGGTATGTCCTGCAGTCAGGCAGCATTTCAATAAAATTTTAACAATAATGTCCCTCTTTATAGTGTAAGCGATAAAGCATAGTTATACAGTATGTTGGCTTAGTTGTAGTGGTGCATACATGTAGCCCACAGGTTTCTGGAATTCCACTTCAGGGAAGAGTGGTTTAAAGTCTACCATCTGGTGATTTATGGAAGATGGTATCGGTCAGTTTTGAGGAGCCAGGTGTCCATCTCGGAAAACCTGCTCACACAATTGGCAGTAGCTAGTAACATGTCAGCGATTTGAATATTTAGAAGAGAAGGCTCAATGAGGTGGAAAGACTGGTGGTCCCTCAGGGTCCTAGAAGTGGTTCCTCCAGGTCCATGTTGAGCCACATTGGTGTAGAGCCTCATGCCATCACTGCTTTTACTGAACCTGTTTTGGGGCTTCAGAAAACCGACAGATCTCCCTGACTCCTTGTAGGAGTCCAAATTCACCTAGATAATTTAAACCTAAGGAGGGGAAAAACCTCTCAGTGATTCATTTGTGGAATAAATAAAAAGTGAGAGAAAGCACCTAGTGTTTTCAGAACAGCAGAATGCGATTAATACCATGTTCCAATAATGTACAAATGTAGGCCATTTCAGCAGCAGCCAGAGAAATAGCTTTATGTATTTACTGGCAGATTTTTCCACAGCACTTATCACTGTAGCATCTGTAGCGTGCTATGAAAGCATGCAGTGCCTCTGGTACTTGCCTGGGAGGTACTTTCCATGTTACATTTGGGATAAATTACCCAGAGTCATAGAGGGAGTCCATGATACCAAAGGAGGTAAGGATCCAGGTCCCTTGTGCTTTCACCATGTGACAAACGTTCTTATTTTTAAAAATATTTAGAGGAAAGGACAAATTATTTTTTAGCTAGTAAGTTAAAGAATATTTAAAGAAAGGGATCAGTTGGTGGCAAATTCCTTGTCTGTTGTACAAGCATGGGGTGGCAAAAGTTAGGGTAACCCTGACATTTTGTCAGGGCAGAAAAAATGCCAGCGTGAATTACTGGAAAATCTTTAACTTAATTCTATACAGAAAACATAAAACTTCAGTATTTTTGGTCTTTTTTCTCTTTAACATTTTGCCCTACAAGGTGAAGAAGTATGTGAAGAAGGCAGAGGCTGAAGGAGCTAGAATTCTGTGTGGAGAGGGGATCGAGTCCTTGCAGCTTCCAACCAGAAATCAGAATGGCTATTTCATGCTGCCTACAGTCATAACTGAAGTGAAGGATGAATCCTGCTGTATGCAACAAGAGATCTTTGGTCCTGTGACATGTGTGGTAGTGTTTGATACAGAAGAAGAAGTGATTAAGAGAGCCAATGGTATCAAGTATGGCCTGGCAGCCACTATATGGTCAAGTAATGTAGGGTGTGTTCATCGTGTGGCTAAAAGACTGCAATCTGGTTTGGTGTGGACTAATTGCTGGCTTATCAGAGATCTGAACTTGCCATTTGGTGGCATGAAATTCTCTGGGATAGGCAGGGAAGGAGCAAAGGACTCCTATGAGTTTTTCACAGAGGTCAAAACCATTACAATAAAACATTAAATTTGCCAATGCAAGTATTTTATGGCCAATGAAATGATTTTGATTTAACCTTAGCTACACATCTCTTTAGGACACAGCACTTTTTAAAAATCTATTTTTTTGGAAAGCTAAAGGTGCTCATCATAATTAACAGCAGATAATATAGCCCACCATATTAGACAAGAAGACAGGTATGGACTCTGTATGATCCTTGGGCCAAAAACATGATTACTTAGGGATCAGGGAAATCTTGAGGCTTTTGCCATCTTCTCTTCAAAAACTTTTCCCCCAAAAGGCAGATTGCAGACAAGTTAATAAATAATGAGGATTGTTGTCAGTGAATTACTTTGAATGGCAAATACACAAGTGAATTATGTAGTTATACTTTAATGGTAATACTTTAAAGTGTATTTCTATATAAGTGAGTATGTCTCGTGCTATATATTCACATATATATTTTACTGTTGTCATCAGACTAGCACTGAGGCAAGTTCATACTAAAATGCCCACAGCAATACCTTTTACCTGTTCCTTTTTTGGTAAATTGTAAACTCATGATATTCTTGCAATGCACAAGAATAGCAAACATTTTTTATCATAACCTATTTTGAAATATGTAGCAGTATCATCATTTTATTAAAACCAAAGTGAAAATTTCTAACCAGGGCTCATCATTTGCAGGGTTCCTAGGATGGTATTTTTTTATATTCCTGCACAGTAATTGTCTGGCAGAAAATATATGCCAGCCTACTCATTGATACAGGCTGAATGTGACTCCTTATAGAAAGACTAGACTACTGGTTGCAACAAATTAAAAATATTTATATTACCCTTTATTTCTTTTGGAGGGATTCTGTGGGAGTGGTGCATTTGGCAAAGGTTTTCACAGTCAGTTAAAACAGGATTGGAATTGCAGGCAATTTTGCTGCCACTTGCCATCAAACACCAATGACATTTTCAGAGCAGCTTTTTGTGGGGTATGTTTTCAGGGTTTGAGCTGTTTCATGACAGGATTGTAACTGCATAGTTCCAGGACTGGCTTCACCTGTACCATGCATTCATAAGTAGCTACAGCCATTCTGACTAATTTTCTCAGGTCTTTTCTGGAAGGAGACATGTCGCTCAGACACAGAAAAGTGATTGCCATGGATCAAAGTTGTCAGGGTGGGGAATAGAAAATTATCCTTCCTGTGCCTTGCAACAAAGAAAATGCAGGGAAGATGTCAAGGTGGTCTGGAGGAATATTTTTTGCTGATCTACAGGGTGGAGGGGTACTGCATGTGACAGAAGACCAAGAGGCACATGGAAACAATCGCTCAGGTTTGTTTGGAGCAGCATCTGGACTTTGAATGCTAATCGAAACTTTTACATTGTGAGGTCCCCACTGATTCATTTTATCCATTCCTCCCTCCCCACCCATATTAAGACTGCTTACTTTGTAGTCTTTTAAATATATGCTTTCCAGAGCAACATTTTCATTGCATATACCCATACATAGTTTGGTTATATTAATGATGGGATTTGTATGTTTTTTATACAGTTCAGAGAGCCCAAAGGTAACTCGAAATTGTCCTAGCTGCAGCAGACCCCTTATCCTTGACAAGCCACCTGTTGGGGTGGGAGGGGCTGATGGCATAGATACCTAGTCCATGATACTTTAACATTGCTCCGATACTGTTGGAGGGCGGCCCAAGGATATGAACTTTCACTGTTAGGTTGAAAAAAATCTTCCATTCAAGGAGCTGATTATGCTTGTGTGTTTGCTAGACTTGGGTGAAAAATAGGTTTTCTGCTTTGTGGGAAACTGTTTTTTTGAAATTTCCCATGAACAGAAGTTCCCCTGTTCCTTTCAGCTGCTCAATGAAACTGATATTCTTGTCCACTACATTTTACAATGCAGACAAGCTGAGAGGCACAGACCCTGGCAGTCAAACCCCAGGTAAGCCAGATAGCCCAAGACTTTGAGTTTCTGCACTTCAAAGAAAGAGCCTGGCATGGCTTTGGCATGGCTGGCTGGCCCTGAACCATGGACACATCTGCTGTGCTACCAGCTGACAACCCCAGGGCCAGGGACCCCTGCCTTTGGGCAGTTTATCTAATGGGTCTGCCCTGGTGCCCTACCTGGACTCCTCGTCTGCCTGGAGTCCAGGCAGGGTTTCATTAGAACTTCGCCTTTGATTCAGCAAAGCCAATTGAACTCGAGATGTTTTAAGTTGGAATTTTTTATGAATTTTTTTGTCAGAAAATTTCTGACCAATGCTCCCTGTGACTACAATTGGTGGGGGGGACAACAGAGTATGTGCTTCATTCATTCTTCCTTCCTATTAAGTTGTTACCAGAAAAAGTAATTATTACATGAGTATGATGGACTCTCCTGAATCAATTATAAATGTCCTTTGAAGAACAAGACCAGAGCTGCAGGATGACTAATAGTAATCAATCTATAGAGGAAGGCATGTTGTACAGGGGGCAAATTCTAAATGTCTCCTTCTATGACCAGTACTGCCCTGCCCCTCTCTGGGTTCAGCTTCAGTGAGCTACTTTTTATGTAAGCATTGGTTTTGTCCTGGCACTAAGCAAGACGCGGCCTGATACTTTACATAAAGTAGATGTCAGCCTGCGTGTAGTATGTATAAGTGCACTATGCACTTCATGCTGCAGTGTCCCTCAACAATTTCAGTGCAATGGTGAATAATATGGAGAATAGGCCTGAGTCTTGGGTGAGCACTACACAGATGCTACGATAGTTGTCAGTAAGTGGCCCTATAGGCTTCAACTTGGGTCTTTTTTATCCGTTCCCTGCAGCTTCTTGAAGACCGAACTAGAGTATTGTATGATAGAAAGGATCAGAAAATAAAAACTAAGGACATTCAGCA